TTATTCTCTGAGACATCGTTTTATTGAAATAAAATGAATGACCTTAATATTGGTTAATTTTCATATCGACTTAAACGTGATTATTCTTTCAAAATATGTTGTTTATCGTATCATACTAATACACTATTATGTAGTAGAACTGCTAAAATATTTATCATTATTTTTGCTGAATAGTTAATTATGTATTATTCTGAATATCAAAGAAATTTTTATTCATGTAAACTGTTTATCAACACCTGTTTCTAGAGATCAATAAATTCAATGTTTTGATTGGAGCTGTTCTACATACATACTCAAAGGTCAATTAACCTAAACGTGAAATTATTACATGTTATATTTCCAAAAATTGAATGGATTAAATTAATTCACGTAAAGACTACATTATGATATGAATATGTACAAAAATATACTATAATGGTAAAAATATATTATACCATATTTTAATATTTTCAAGTTTAAAAAATTAATGTATTATAAAAAAAATAAAAGTGATTGATAACATGGTTCACAATGTATTGTTAATGATAACTAGCATGATATAATGAACAATGAGAAGAGAATCGAATATACATATATTTCATTGCAATTTACGATACTAAATATTCATTGTAATTTCTTGAATGTCAATTGATTAGATTTAAGCCTCTTTTATGAATCATTTTTAAAATGATTTTTTTTTACATTATAATTTTTATCGCTAAAAGCAATATAACAATTGTATAAATAATGACTCAAAGATGACTTTTATGAACATACATTAATAAGTACATGAAAGACAAAATCCTTGTATTTACATTCACATTTATATGCATATATTAAATGACTGAAAAGACAATATTTTTATATGTATACGTATGTAGTGACTTACAATGTGAACATATTTTGTTCATATTATTCCATTTATTCATTTATCATTTTATGTTTATATACACCTTTGTTGATCCTATATTCATCTGATTACTTCCAATTAATTAGAACACTATATATAAGCTCAGTTGATGATACAACACTAATTCGTTTACATAATAATAAATATTCAGAAATGAAAAATAATATATGTATATGTATTTATTCATATTAGGGGCCAATAAACTTTTTTAATTTTCACAGTTTTAATGTTATAATTTAATTTCAAAGTACTGATATACATATATTAACTTTTACCTTATATCTTTAATAAATTAAAAGTAGATATGTTATTATAATTATTCTTTTTTTTTCTTTTTGAAAATATCACCTCTTTTTTGGATTGATTTTTCTCCATTTAAACATCTTATGAAAATTAATCGTTTCAGAAAATTATTTAAACAGTCCAATTAAACAATTTATGTATAAAAGGCCATTTTTAATGGCCGATACATAACAACTTACAGTATCAAAACATTTCTAGAATAATCATGCCTTTTCTCACGTATAAATGAACATTGGAGCATGCGTGTACCGAACATTCCAGTGTTAATTCTAATATTGCGATAAAACATCAAGTATACATATCATAAAGTATTAATTGTATACATTCTTAAATTTCAAAAATTAAATTTCCTTCACGTCTTTGTAGTATGCAAATTTTTTATCGAGTTGTTGTGATGATTGAAAATAAAAGAGAAAAATTCAATTGGGTATACAATCTCAAGTAGGAGCATGCGCAGTTGTGTATCAGAGGGTATATATTGAATCGAAAGGTCGTGCCGCATAACAGTAAACACACGTATTGAATGAGTTGTATAAGAAGCGTCTGACGCAAATTTTTTTCTTCAAGAACTTTTTATTGAATCTCTTGTGAAACATGTCTGAGGCATATATTGATGAGTACGAACATTTCAACTACGACTACGATAAACACATTTTTACTGGACACGGTGGTAAACAACGTAGTAAACGCGAAGCAAACGAGCACACAAATCATCCCAGACCCTTGTGGTCATTCTAGAAAAATCGCTACGAAACTAATGAATTCCGAACACAATAAACGACAAATTGTGAAGAATAAAGCATAATAGACTGCCGTTAAAGGTAATCAAATTTAATTAATAAAATTCTACGATAAATATTTTATTCTAAAGTCATGACACTGCCAAAATGGCAGCCAAGGTCGTGGAAATTACGTCGCAATTTTATGTTTATTGACATTTTGTTCTATTTTTTTTGTTACAGTCGTGTTATTTGTGAGTTCATCTCCTTCGTAACGGAATCTCGGCTGTGAATAATATAATCACAAAACAACCTTAGAAGTACTCATAAAATATATTATAATAAAAAGAAGAAGGAAACATTGCTGATCATCCGCTACGAAAGCTGCCTGAACAAGCATTTATTCACGAATCATCGCTACACCTGTTTAATCATTTTACTTACGAGTTCAACGTTCATCTACTCAAAATTAATATTAGATAAACATTGACTTAATTTTTTTAATTTTCAGTATAATTAATTAATTTGTTAAATTTCTGAAAATAATTGTAACATTAAACAAACACAATCCGTGGCCATTTTCTTTACCAGTTATTATTATCATACTTTATACATTAGTGAGTATTGTAGAATATCTTTTTTGTATGACGAATAAATCAGGAATAGTTTTTACTCAAGTTATTGATGTACAAAAAGTATTACTTCAATAAAAATTGATTAAATCTTGGTTCTTTTCATTGTATTTCAATTTTCCGCCTGCTTTATATTAAACTTTTTTTTTCACTTCAAACGTAGCATTGACAAATTTTTTTGCTTCAAAATAAATAATGGTTGCGTTATTGAGCAGTTAATAGCAAATAAAAACAAAAATCAAACTTTAAAGTAATAAAACACTCGTATTAATACAACTATTTTCTTTTATCAAAATATAATTGTATAACCAGAAAAATAATAGATTAAACGTTATTTAAGATAAGCTAACTCTTGAAGTATAATCTCTCATAAAACACTCTAAAAAGCAACATTAGAATAAAATTTATTACTGAATCTAGTAGTGTCTTAACAAAATAATATAATTCAATAATAGATTAATAAATATAGACCAGGTAAATAACATTAGACTTATATGTATATATATATATATATGTATTTATATATTTTTAGTAAACATGTTTCAAAACTATTTTGAAAACATAGTTATCATTACATAAAAAAAGTAAGAGACAATGTAACTATAATAAATTATTATTTGATTACATTGTTAACAATAACATTTGTAGTTTAATTTAGAAAATATTTTTGAACTCGAGTACTGTAGTTAATAATACTCTAAAACTTTTTTTTTAGCATTGATTCTTACTGTTCATTAATTCTTACAAAATTTAAAACCTATAAGAATACAGAATTTGTGATTGAAAATTCATTAGTAAAGCTTATGGACTTCTGGTTCCAATTTTTGTTTCAGTATTCCAGAAAGAATAAATTCTGTAGTAACAACTGGCACTTCAATATTTTTTGGAATTTTTTTTACCATTTCTTTAATTTCGGGATATCAATATCACAACCAACAATCACTGTATTTGGAATCCAAAGTCTTGGCATTCTTATTAATGATTTTCCACCTGCTACTTGTATCATATCTGTAACGATAACTTAATTTAATATTTATGAAGATGTTTTGAAAAACTATTATTTACCTTTAAGGTCCTTAATGCTAGGATTAACAATTTAGGAGTAATGATGAATGTAGATCCCAGTAATAATAAACCTTCACTCGATTTTTTTTAAACTTTCACTCAATTTAAAATCAAATTTAATTTCTGATATATCATCCTTCAAGATATATTTATCCGTATCCAAAAATTCATCTTTTTCAATACATTCATCAATCCATTTTATAGAAACAATTGGAATACTTCTAGAAATTGCGCAAATAAATTTATATGTTCTTCTAACTTTGTCGGTAACCAAAACAGTTGCTTTTGAAGGTTCATCTGTTACTGTTCCACCTAAAAATTAACACAAATAACATTAAACTACACTTACTTCGTAACTATGAATTGTAACCTGTAATAGTATTCTTGCATTGATTTTTCAATTTGAAATAAAAAAATTCAAAGCATGATCATTTGTATTCGAATAAAGATATTATATGTATTTTCATTTAATAAGTTACTTCAATGTCCTACAACTAATGATTTTCGTGATTAAAAAAAAATTAAATCAAATTAATATAATATTAACTCTTGAATTGTTATTTATAATAATATCTAATTTTGAAATTTTTGGGTGTATAACTTTGTATTGTTAAAAAGATCTTATTCTTATACATTCCTAAAATTAGAGAAATCTTTTATTGTCAATATACTGTCTTTCTCTCTCTCTCTCTCTCTCTCTCTCTCTCTCTCTCTCTCTCGTCTCTCTCTCCTCTCTCTCTCTTCATTAATATTGAACGAACAATCAATTGTATTCATATTAAGGCGCCTCGAGCGGAAATATATAGATATATAAAAGTATATGGACCTTTGCGCACGAGTTTTAGGCAAATAAATAGATAAAATAAGAAATATCTATAGGAAAAGATTCGCGCAACAACAATTTATGGAATGATACGAGATAAGGACGATTAGTTGAAGAATAAATAAAATATCCGAAATTAAAAGTCTAAAGCGATTTGACAGATTGTTTTTCATATTTCTAACTCTTACTCGTTTACATATGGCCGACCAAAATCTGGTTACCCTACAATTTATGATTTATAAATCATTCGTTATTTTATAATTTGAGAAAAATTTTAAGCTCTAATATTATATATTACACTTACCTAGACTCTTTATTGATTCAATATAATCTCAGGATTTATTCCAGTAAAAATAACACAATACTTATGAACTTGGAAACTCTTACGTTTAGATTCTTGGCGCAAAGAAATATTCAGACTATTGTCTAGTCTTACAACTGGTTTTTTCTTCTTAGAATCAATTAAAGACTGTGATACATCACAAATAGCCTTACGTTTTTCATGAATTTTTACTTCTTTAGATTCAGAACTAGAATTATAACCAGAGGTAATTACTTCAGAATTAGTTCTGGTTTTGAAACTTGACTTTGATTCATTTGCCCTTTTCGTTCTGGTGTCTTTTTTATTCTCTTTTGATCTGTAATTGAATTGTAGATTATTTTTTTTTTTGTTAACAAATTTAAAAAACTAAAAAAAGTATTTGATTGTTAATATATTACCTAATTCAATTTGTTCATCTGACTTTGATAATTTTCCACTATTTTCTGATGATTTTTCTTTCTTATCATATTGTGAGAGCTTAACAGTCGCAATTTTGGTTTTTTTTTCTATTGACCTCATCATTATCATTTATTTTATTATCACATTGTATAGACAAAACCAATTTTTTGGTACCGCTACTTTTTGAGATCATTTTTGGTTGTTCTAATACTTTTTTTTCATTGTTTGGAATATCTTCATCTGATGAATTTAGAGAAGCATGACTACGTGGAGAAAAGCCAGCGCCGTTTAAATTAACTTCTGGTAATCCTGTTAAAATATCATCATTCACATCGTTTGTTTCCTTATGATTTATAGTTTCATCAAGTCCTAAAAAATAGTCATTTCAAAGAATTTACTTTTTCATATGATTATAGTATATGCACATTACTTGAAGCAAAATTAAAGCTTGGACTATTTTAACCATTACAGACAAACAAAAAAATTCCAAATATATAATAATGAGTATAAAATAGTATTACTACCTTGACAATCGAGTCTCTCACAAACTATAGCTATCCCATCAACAAATCCAGATAGACAAGGCTCATCGTTCTTTAAACCGGAAGAATTTTTTCTGATATTTGTTACTGCGTCTGAATCAGAACTATCTTGACTGTCAAAAACTGCTTTTCGCTTCCTTTTGAAGTTCAAATGAGCAAAATAAAGTTCTTGAGATTCTCCATCAACACGAGAATAATTACCCAATGTCTCTTTCTCCTTTTTCTTCGTATTTTTTCCATTCTTTTGACCACCAAATTTCTGAAAAGCAATATTATCTACTACTGTATCTACATTATCGGATTTTTCGGGAGTTTTTAAAATATCTACAAGTTGCTGAGTTAGAAGCTGAGTTGGTTCAACCATATCGTCATAAGCTACTTCACCAAACATACTGTCCAAATGTTTTAATACTACATCGTTATCCTCGTAATTAGAAGTGTGAATTTCTTGATTCTTATCTTTTTTATTTTTAAATCTATTTTTTGTACTTTGATTTAATGATAAATTTATTTTGTTCATTGAGATAGGAGTTGTTAAAGTATACTTTTGATCTTTATTATCAATTTTTTTTTGTGATAAATATCCATTTTCATCCTTTATATGATTGATTTCCTCATCATTTTCATTACTTCATCATTATTCTCAATTTTTGATATTTCCTGAGATTCTTGTTGAAAACGATCATCATTACAACCAATTTTACATGATGAACTTATTCGCCACTCTGCACAATTTTTTGAAATTTTATTTTTTTTCAATCTCAAAGTTTTTAATGGTTTCTCATTAATATCACAGTCATTGTTAATCTCATTTTCAATTTGAATTCTTGTTCTTCTAGCATATTTTCTGTCATAGTATCATTTTCGAATTCTATCAACTGTGTTGATTCATTATCATAATTATTACTCAAACCTTTATTATTTTCTTCATCATTATTTTCAGAAAACTCATCAGCTTTTTGTGTTTCTAAAATTTGTGTATCAGCTGATTGAGTTGTAAGTTTCAACACTTGTTTTCTTTCAGGAGATTCAAAATCATTTATTTCTCGTACCTGTGTATCTATAATTTGAGTTTCTAATGAATAAGTTTTACGTTCAATTAAATTAACTTTTTGGGTTTCTATTAAGACTTGAGTTGCAATTATAGATTGAGTAGCCGCTAAAAAATTTTTTTTACTCATTTGTATCAGTGTAGGAGATACAATTCGTTGAGTAGCAGCTCATTATTATAAGAATTTACTTGAATGTTAGAATGAAGATTCGATGTTGTTGGTGACATAATCTGATTTGGTGTCATATACATTTCATTATCACTATCATCTACAATGTTATCTTCATTTTTAGCACCGAGTGATTCTGAAATTTCATCTAAATCTACAAGAACTGGACTTCCAAAATTTCTATTAAATAAATGAACGTCATTGTTTATATTTTCATTATTTAAATTCATATCAGTTATAACTTCACTATTAGTAGTAATATTTATATTACGATTTCCATTAGAATGTTCTTTTTGCAAAAAATTAGAAAAAACGCCTTCATCATCAGTTTCAGACTCATCATCTGTTTCTGCTACAATTAAGCACGATTGATCAGGTATTAAAGTTGATGAATTTTGAATGTTTTCAACTGCTATTTCGTTTATTATCGGACTTGATTGGTTTTGAGATGCATTATTAGACTTATTATTACTAGAAATATTATTAATACAAACCTTTTTATTGGTGGTCATAATCTCTTCATTTTTATTACTTCTTAAGACCATATCAGTGACAGGTACTTTATCTTGTTCATGTTCCTCATCACTTTCTGCAACCATTTCAACTTTTTGAAACGGTGCGTTTAATACTTGTGTTGTTACATTCTGATTTTTAAACTTACTTGATTTCTCTTCGACTGTTGAGTCTCGGCATCATAAATTTCTGTTTTTTCTTTCCTAATATTCAAAGGTTGGAATCTTTGTGTTGCCATATTGTACACGTTATTATTATCTTGATTTTCAAATTCATTTCGTTTTTGTGTTTCGATGTCATAAATTTTTTTATTATTGAATTTTTGTGTCATCGCATTTTCCAAATCATTATCTTGTGGTTTACAGAAATTTTTTGGGTTTCAGCATCATAAACTTGATCATTTTGTTCACTTGCTAATTTTTGCGTTGAATTTGGCTTTCATCTGTATCGTTATTTTTTATCACGATATTTTTGTGTTTCTTTATCAAAAATTTCGGATTTTACTGATATGATGTTTTTTTTTGCCTTTTGTCTATTATCCGTAGTTATATTTTTTTCTACCAGATTGTTTGGAATCATATTTTTGAGTAGCACATTCATGGATAAAAACTCTGACTTTCAATAGATTTATTAGTACGTTGAGTTTCTTCATCATATATAGATTTATCTGATTCATAATGTTTATTTTGTCATTATTGCTAGTATCTTTTGAATTTATAGTTCGATTAGGTACTAAAGGCTTAACAAAAACAGCTTCTGGAGTCTCTTGTGTCCCCAAAACTACAGAATCATCACTATCACCGGTGGATGAAGTATTAGGTCTTGATGAATTTTATTTGACTCTCTTCGTAGTTTTAATCCAGGTTCAGGTGTTGAAGGAATAATAATTGATTCATCATCTCGTAAACGTAAGTATGTACCATTTAAAATACCAAATGTTAATTTGGTACCATCTAATAATTGGTAAAAACGATCAGGTTTTAACTTCTCCTGAAAAGAAAATTTATATAATGTGTTATAATATTATCTTTATAAATTTAACAAATTATTGTAGTTTTCTAATATTACATTTGTTATTTTAAAATTTTTATAACTTTAGCATATTAGTAGAGCCTATAATTCATTTTATTTCAAATTTTATTAAACTAACAAAAATTATCATGTTAAGATGTGTAAAAAATAATAGATTTTTGTTTTTACTAATTATCATAAAGTATGAATTATTTAAATTAAACTATATAAATACTTTACATCGTTCATTCGTGTTTTATTAGTTGATCGTAAGTCACAAATGAAGGCATGTTTTGCATCAGCTTCAATTTCTGCATGATACATTGAAACATTCTGTAAAAGTAAAATAACAAATAATGATTTATTAATTTATTAAATTACTGATAATACTATTAAGATGTTGACAATTTTATATAAAGCCAATATTTTTTAAATGTTCTGAGAGGTCTAGGTTAATAATGATAACTTTCAAGTTATCATAATAGAAAGTTCACAATATGCCATGATTAACTTCATAAATCAACGTAAATTTCGTTAATTACTTGTATTTTATTAAAAATAAATGTTAAAATACATAAAATTTATTCATATCATTTATTTTATTATGTAATTAATTAAATTTATCATAATAAATAATTGAAAGAGCATCAACCCCAATAGAGATAGTGGTTTACTATCATTTTAAATAGTGGATAACTTAAACTTGGCTTACTATATAAAGGGATAAATAAAAGACAGACCTACAGTGGAAAACAGTCAGAGTTTCGAAATGAATCAAATTCTTTTGATTTGTTTCTTGCCTCTGGCTTTCGCTACTTTGGACATCGATAAAACTTCAGATGGTCCAAAAGTGATAACTCCGTTGGGAGGAATTCGAGGATTTTACGATCATTCACTTAATGGTAGAAAGTATATAGCTTTTGAAGGGATTCCATACGCTAAACCACCTGTTGGGGAAACTCCGTTTCAGAGTAAATATCAAATCCATGTTATTAATTTTATTTATAAATTGTCGAAATAAATGTTTTCAAACTATTTATTTATTGAACTCACATACTTTTATATAATGTATTAACTTATGAACATTATTTAGCCTCCTCAAAAGCTTCCAGCTTGGAATGAAGACATAGTTGCAATTAAGACAGGATCTCCATGTCTTCAATATATTCATACTCCTCTGGATGCAAAAGAGAGAATAGTTGGGTCTGAAGATTGTTTATATTTAAATGTTTACAAACCAGTTCTTGAAAGTGCTAAACCCTTACCGGTGATTATTTGGATTCATGGGGGAGCTTTCCAATGGCATATGGAAGCTCGTGATGGTCAATTTACCAAGCCAGATTATATTATGGACAGGGATGTCATCTTTGTCACTTTCAGTTATCGTGTTGGTCCTCTTGGTGAGTAATTAGTTTATTGATATTTATTATTTAATAACAATTTATTTATTACTTTTAATCCATTATAGGATTTTTAAGTACTGGTGATGAACATATTTCCGGTAACATGGGTCTTAAAGACCAGAATATGGCTATACGTTGGGTAAAAGAAAATATCAAAGGCTTCGGTGGAAATCCTGATGAAATCACTCTTTTTGGATTAAGTGCTGGAGGTGTTAGTGTTCACTATCAATATTTATCTCCACTCAGCAAGGGTCTTTTTAAAACGTATGCTTAACTGTTTTAAAAATAGACTCATTAATGTATTTACTTTTAAAACTTTTGAAAACTTTCAATTAATTTCCACAATTTTTTAGGTGGACTTTCTTTTAGTGGAAATGCACTCAATCCTTGGGCTATAACTGAAGCTGCTCCAGAAAAAGCTAAAAAATTAGCTTCTATCGTAGGCTGCTCAACTTCAAATGTTGAAGAAATGGTGAAGTGTCTTAGAACACGACCAGCACGACAAATCGCAAGAGCCGATATGGACTTTATGCCTTGGTTTTTTAATCCAATGACTCCATTCGGGCCTGTTGTAGAAAAATCAACTGCAGAATCTCCATTTATCACCAAAATACCAGCAGAAATTATTATGGATGGAGAAGCTTACGATGTTCCTTGGATTACTGGTGTAGTTCCTGAAGAAGGACTTTATCCCGGAGCTGGTTAATTAATAGTTTTTTATATCAAATTGTTTTTTTTTTCAATTTTTTTTCAGTAGTTATACTTTTTTTTTTTAATTGTTCTATTAGATTTCTGTGCTGACAATGTTGCTTTAAAGGAACTGGATGCTCGTTGGGACTCTCTTGCACCATTCCTTTTCGATTACAACTACACAATTCCTCTTGGAAAACATATTGAAGTTGGACAAAAAATTAGACAGTATTATA